TTTTTCTTTTTTTTTTTTTTTTTTTTTTTTTTCCTTTCCTCGCGCCAAGCACTGGCGCCTCTGCTACTGTCAATTCTGGTCTAGGATATCGATTAACCGAGAACCTGGGAATATTCGATTTCCGTATCATCCCCGAACGAATCGGACCCTCGGCGAGTGCCGTTAATAAAATTTTCAATTGGGAAGCGCGCGAAACGGGGAAACAAATTTTATCAGCGTACAGAGAAAACGCTACTACGGGCCGCTCTTTGCCAATCAACGATATTCTCAATTAGGACTTTATTACATTACTTTTTTTCTTTTTCGTTTTCGTAGGTATCATGAAGAGACTGAGGGAACAGATGTCTAGCATATTGTCCCGTATTCCTGAATCTGGTATTGTCTCGCCCTGGGGCAAAATTCCTGAGGGAGCAAACACTACATCCACTACTAAGGTACTCACTCTGGGCTTCTTCGGCTATACTTATTTTTCAATGCTAAATACATTCCATTTCTTGTCTCTGTGGAATGATGACTTTTGACTTCATTTTACAGATTGTAGACGGTCACGTAGTCACTATTAATGAAACGACTTACTCGAGTGGCAACGACAGTCATGGTGCTGTTTTCCGAGTACGTATAATCGACGTGAAACCTCAGAACGATACGTTGGAGACGGTTGGAGGCGAGGGTGAAGCGGAAGTCGTGACGACGGAATCTTCGGAATCTGAGAGTACGACTGCACAGACAGAGGACTCATCTACCCCGGCGAGAAGTGTCGAGACCGTCGAAAATGATTTGAATAATGAAATTCCAAAATCTCAGATTGAACTTCTGAACGCCTAAAAATAAAGCGCGACAAAAATTTTACGTAGACGCCTACGATCGCGTCACTTGTATGTTTATTTTTTTATTTACGTCGTTCTTTAGCGATTATATATATATTCTTCGTCGAGATAATAGTTTTAAATACGACGATGCATTGGAACGTCCTGCGCGTTCTCATGCAAGCACGAGGAACGGGTCTGAAGAAGTATATTTTATATATTAACGTTATTACAAGTTGTAAAGTAATACCTCCTAAGGTTGTATTATCCTGCTTATTTTGGCATTTTAAAGAAAACGTGAGATATCTACTATTTGTGGGGGAGTGCTTAAATTGGATGATAGTCTGTTCATAGTTTTCTATTATTCTTTTTCTCGTTTTTTATATCTTTTCTCAAATGTGCACTTTATCTCTTTAGGTTGTATGCCATTAATGATGTACGTATGGGGAAGGTGGCGTAAGACGTCCCCAGTGGGACAAGATAGGGACTACCCATGAAATTAAGTTGGTAGTAGTAGAGGCAATAATGATAAGTATTATTTCCTCAAGACGCGCGAATTTTATTCCACGTTCCCTTACTAGGTCGTGAGATTGATATGTATTATTTATATGAATTAAGATCTGTTTCACACTTTGTCACGATTCTCACGTAAATAAATAGCGCAAATCTAAGCAAGACTTGTAAGTTTTCTTCGGCTTTAAACTTTTAGAATGAATGTGACTGTGCAGCAGTTCCTCTTTTCCAGATGAGTGTTACAAAGCGTTTTAAGAACGCCAACGATCGCTGAACACAATCACCTTGCGTTCAATCGCTTTATCGTACTCGGCTTTGATCATCGCGTCGTTCTGTGAAACTATCATCGTGTCCACCGATGTTAATAGTCGTTCGTTAATCACTTCATAGCATTTGGCTTTGATCATAGTCCAGCCATGACATGACTATGTGAATCTAAAAGGCCCTTAATGGAGGAATGTAGAACGTACCACTCGAGTTTCCTGACATTAATGTATTTAACGTTCTCCTACTGCCACCGTACTATGGTCATGTTAAAAGCTCTGCCCTTATAGTGGGTGCATTATTATCGTTATTACTGTATCTTTTGGAAGGCGGGAACAAATGTGCCTTATATTTTTATCATATTCTGTTACTCTATATTGCAAGAATCATATTGATTCACTTATCTTATCCAGCGTTACTGGTCATTAAATATTTGAAGGACGTTTGGACAGATATGACATTTCTAGGCGTTTAGTATGTACGTACTCAGAGTATTAATATACGTGTAGTGAGATTATTGATATTATTCAGAAATTATTAATAATTTTCAAATGAAACAAAAGCTTGAAAATAGAAGAGTGTTCAGAGTGGTTTTATGGAATTGTCCAGATTAATAATGTAGCTGAAAATGATTATCGTATTAAGTGAAATTTTTAATCAAATGGGTAATTTGAAACTCGCGGCAATGGATTACGGTACCTTTAATTGCTCTTAATTGATAAACTTACACGCTGCATAATTCTGCTAAAACGTTTAATAATTTAACGACAGTGATACATGTTATTATTTCTTATGAAATCGTACACTGTGTAAATTATAAGGTCGATCAGTTTTTGTCCAAATAAATAAGGTCTGTTTTAAATCTGACCATTGTGAACTTATCCAATTTTAAAGTAAAAGCACAAAAGTCAAATCATGTGATAAATAAAGTAACAGTTATTTTGAGTTTGTTATTCAATTAAATATACTGCAAACGGCGTAAGCTCATTAAATGCAATAAATGTAATTCATTGCAGAACCTAAGTAGTGAATTTTCATAAGCAAATTAACTGTTCCGTCGCATAATATACAATTTATGTACTATATATGTCTAATCTGAGCAATATGCATTTTATAATTTTTTTTCTTAAGACAGTAAAAGCTCTTCGCGAATTCGCGTATTTACGTTTTTAAAGATCATATGAAATAAGTATCGAGAATACAAAATAAAATGGTTTCACGCTTAAATAGAAATTCTGTGCATGAGAAATGACTGATTATTTTTCTTAATATCTCTGTTATTGTTATCTATATGAACAAATAGTTTCAATGGTTTCTTATGTATATACTATATACAAACTTCATTCAGTTTTGCGGCATTTTTGCAGAACATAGTCTCTGCGAACACGTAGAATTTACTGTGTACTTTAATTCAGTCTCTCGTTTGAATTTAAAAGTACGATCATAAGGATCGCAAGCGATTTATCGATCAGTCTCGCGTAACTAGATCTAGTAACATTTTTCCACAAGAGTGGACAACCCCGCTACTTGCTGTCGAGTTGTCATGTTGTATAAGATTTGGAGTAGTGAACTGTCATGTGGACGTGGTGTTCGCAATCTGTTTAATAATTAATTAAAACGTTTAAATCAATTATTAGTTATATAAGTCCATTAGAACGTAACAACTAGTGAATAAGCTGAGAATGCAATGCCCGCACGTAGACGACGCATCGGTTCTGATTTAGACCACGATTCCACGTATCCAACCTCAAATAGTGGTTTTCAAAGTGGTGGCTACGTAAGAAATAATTACAATGATGAAAATGCAGCTGCACAGGTAGATTACTCTGGGAAGCAGCAGGAAACATTGCCAGTAATAATGACGTCGCGCGACAGGACCGTCGAATTTGCCAATGCCATTAGGACGATGCAAGGCAGGACAGTGGCACGAGCTGCTGTCATGCGAAATCCTCGCCAGGCACGGCACATACAAAGTTACTCAAATTTTATGATGATTGCTAGGAACATTGGCAAGAATATAGCCAGTACTTATACCAAGTTGGAAAAACTTGCACTGTGTAAGATCATGTAAAGATGGAAATTATGAATGTGGCTCTTTGTGTGTATGGTTATACTGTTCATACAAGGAAAAGAAATACTTTATCGTTGTTCCATTTTGCTGTTCGAGCTTTCCTTTATACTACCTGTACGTATGGTATTATAGTAATTCAAAAATTTGGTAATCGATAAAGTACTTCTAAGGAAGTAGTGGAAGTTGATACCAGTTGTTAAGAACCTAAATTTTATTTAAATGTTGTAGTGGCAAAAAAGAAATCAATATTTAATGACAGACAAGTGGAGATTGAAGAATTAACAAATATTATAAAAAGAGATTTAAGTAGCTTGAATCAACAAATAGCCAAACTTCAGGAATTAGGGAGACAACAGAGAGAAGGTTTTGGTTCCTCACGTGGTAACCACATTGCATCGCATTCTTCATCTGTAGTTGTGGCCCTGCAATCAAAGCTTGCAAATATGTCGAATCATTTTAAGAGTGTGTTGGAAGTACGTTCTGAGGTGAGTTTTTGTATCGCATGCTTATATGCTAAATTTTAATATGTTATAAGTTGTATGCTATCTTAATTACCAATAAATTAATTGCAGAATATGAGAGAAGAGCAAAATAGGAGAGAACAGTTTACACAAGGACATGTCTCTGCGTCATTACCACCTAGTGCAGTCTCTGGTAAACAGGGTTCGTTGCTTCTTCAAGAGCAGGACACGTCTACATCTGTTAGCATAGATCTGGAACCAGCTATGACACAACTTACAGTGCAGCGCGCCGTGTACGATGATACGGTAAGTCTATATTTTAATGGCATTTATATATGTCCCCTAGAAATATATAACAGCTTTCATGCACTTTTGCATCTTGTACGTATTTCTTACAGGATTCATACGTACAATCGAGGGCGGAAACGATGCAAAATATAGAATCTACTATAGTTGAACTTGGTGGCATTTTTCAACAATTAGCACATATGGTTAAGGAACAGGAGGAGATGGTGGAAAGGTAAGTGAATGTCCTTGAATGTCTTACTTGAATAATGATTTGCAAATAATAACAAAATATCAAACTTACTGAGAATATATTTTTCTTTTCACAATGTCATTACAGGATAGACACTAATATACAAGATACCGAGTTGAATGTGGAAGCGGCACACGCTGAAATTTTAAAATACTTTCAATCCGTAACGAATAATCGGTGGTTAATGATTAAAATATTCGCGGTCCTCATATTTTTCTTCATATTTTTCGTTGTATTTTTGGCATAAAGTTCCAATCATCTTTAGGTATAAATGTTTATAATATTATTTCATTACTCTCCATCGATAGCATGTAAAATATATATAATTATTTTGAACTTTATTGAGCCGGATCAATTTATTTTTTATTACATTTGAGCCTAATATATCTATGTACTCTTTATGATATTCATTAAAATTGTATATTATTACGTTCATAACAAGCCTTGAATCGAAAATCAAGATACTTTTAAACGTTATATAATTTGAGAATTGTATCCATTGTACATCTCAGTATATGTTGTCGAATGTGACAACATTCAAGCAACCACTGCCACATGCTTGTGGTTAATAAATCTGTAATTTTCAAAATACAAATTTGCAATTAATAATGCCCACAATTTTCTTAGTACTGCCATGGTTAAAATTATATCAAGAAAAAAAAAATCAAATTGCAAGTGCCATTATATGATCAAATATTCAAAAACAAATAAAAAGCAACGTCATAGTAATAAATTACAATTTATTCTGATTCATTAATACTATATATAACAATTACAGTTCGTTAAAGGTTTATTATTACACGACATATTACAATTTCGTTCGCTGTTTGCATCATTAAAAAAAAAGAACATCGACCCTTTCTTTAAATGCTTTACTACAGAATAATCCAGCACTGTAGTCAATTTCGTATAGTTCTCTGTATAGCGAGTTTAAAACATTTCAGTGTATAACATGTTTTCTGATAATTCGTCATAGTAAGCAGCTTTAAAAAAGAATTCACAGCAATTACCGTTGGGAATTCGATTGACAAACCTCGGTACTTATAAAATAGTTAGACTATACTTTTATGCACATAACTTATACCGAATGTTAAACATGGAAATATAGTACAACAATACCACAGAAAATGGAAGTTATTCCAGTACAAGTATTACTGGTACAGCATTAAGACGATGCCGAATACACTTTCATTTTATCCATTCGAAAACTGTTATACAATGAAATGATTAAGTTATTGGTTCTGTTCCTCAACCTAGAATATTATATAGAATAAAAAATCTAGGCTTTGCCACTATGGTGTGTCTTGTCCAACGACTCTCCTGAAGAGTGTAAAGAACCTGCAAGTATAGATCCCATAAGGACACAGTTCCAATGTATTTAATAATTATAATTTTACATTGAATATTTAATCATCCGATATAGAACATTATTCTATTTTGAAAACCATTTTTAGAAAACTGGCATACAAAAGTATAAAATCTTATATAGGCAAAATGAAACTACTAAGATACTGTTAAAGCAAATAATATATTGGGTATTTATAGTCATCGAGTAATAATTTTAACTCATCTATTACCCCAACGACTTAACTCGTTAGCGACAAACTGCACAACTGAGTAAAGGAAAAAAAACTATCAGCAACATTGAAAGAATTACAAAAGAATAATAGAAGTGAACCTGGCACAGTAAATTATTTGGAGTTATTCCCCTCCATCGTGCTCCAAAACTGCCTCACTTTCGAGAAGCGTTTGCGTCCTTGGTTGCAGAAAGTAAAGAAAGGAAGAGAGAAAAATACACGTAGAGAACGAGGAACCATAAGATAAAGAAATTAAGATTACAGCAATTGGTTGTCTCTCATTAAAATCTTGATGTCGCTCTTCGAGGTCACGTAGTTGGGGGTTTGATGGTGGTTTGGCACAAACCTTTATGATTTCGCACATGGGCTGGTTTTGTTCGAGGATCGTAGCCAGGGTGCCGCTGATGCTGCATCGTATCTTCCCCCCACGAATGCGTTCCCAAGGGCGGAGGAATTAGAGATGGAGGCGGAAGGGGCGGATGGACTTGATTTAAGAATGGTGGCAGAGGTGACCGATGATGAGAATAAGGTGGAAGCAAGGGAGGAGACATTGGAGGCGGTGGTGAATTGGCATTGTTATACCTACCGCCAGAGTTGTGTGATGAAAGTAACAATGGCGGTGGTGATGGTAATCGTCCACCAAGAGGTGGTGGCCTTTGACCAACTTCGTAAGAGGACATACCGGAACCGGAATGCATCGGTGGTGACAGGAACAGGGGCAGTGGCGCACCATACATATAAGGAGGCGGTGGAGGAGGCGGAACACCTGAAGAACCGGTAAACATTAGAGGGGAACTTGATGACTCTGCTCCAATGAATAATGGAGGTGACGCTGCGGTCTCCCCATTTGTCTCCAGGCCTGTGTACCAATGAGTTCAACCACATGTCAGTCTTGCGAACCTCCTCATCTCATAGGCGTGCGATGTACGCTCGAGCATGCCAGGTGAGACACGTAAAAATGAATTTGTTCCTTAACGTGCCATTCCTTATTACCATGGAAACGATCACGGTCAAACTTTCTAAACTATGTATGATTATGCTGGTACTAATTTTGCTTCGCTGTAATATGTTAACATTCACGTGGACGTGAATAATAGAAAATATATCTTAATACATCTATCTAATTCTGATGATTGTCACTGTGACACGTATGGTGTTTACGTTATCTAAGATATAGATAACAAAATCAGCAGATGCGTAGATATGAATAGAACAAATTTCTACATATATGCAATAAGATTTGTTGGTAGATAATAATTTCGACGTAATTCCAGTACTTACGATGGAGTTTTGAGTCTGGATCAGAATCGTTGATACTTTTCTCAACAAGAGTAAGTCGATTACGTAGTTGACTTGCCTCCGCCTTTGATTCTTCCAGACGACGCTCGCATTGCCGAGCAATTACCTAAATAAAGCAAGATGTAATTCTTTACTGTTGAAGTTTATGAGATTTAAAATTCAAATATTTCTTACCCATTGCTCGTGTGATTTCGTTTCGAGAGCTGATATTTGATTCTTATATTCCCTCTCCTGATCTAATATTTCTCTCTTCAGCATTTCTATTTGTTGTCTGTAATGAAATTTCTTGGTATTGAATCTATATAGTACATTTCTACATACTGCAGATACGTTTATGTAATTTTTTTTCTTCACTTTTTCACAGATATCTAAAGAATTTATAATACTTACTTGTAATTGTGAATTTCCTTTTGCATAGTATGTATTCTTTCGACTGTTGATGAAACCTCGCCTTGCTTCTGTAACCAAACAGCCTCTTCCCTAAGGCAAAGAATATCAATCAATTGGCTAAGCAATAGGCAGCAGGTTATTTAAAAGGAAGCTTTACTGTCGAGGGCAAAAAAATTTTATAAAAGGCGTATAATATTAACTTTATACATACTTTTGTCGTTGAGCTTCCTTATCCTCGAAGAACTTCGACAAAACTTCGAGGCGTGTTTCTGCATCTTTTTTCTCCTTCTCGGCCAATCTGCATTGCTGGACGAGAGAACCTATTTCTTCTTTAATAAGTTTCATGTGCTCTGCAACATTTTAACGGGATAATAGTACATGAAAGATTGAAAAATATATGTACTAAAAGTAACAGATATGGAATACGTGAATCTTCAAGACACATAAAACAACGTAAAACCATATGGCGAATAGTATATTCCATTATTTGATGTGCATCACGGTGAAAAAATGGTCTTTATATTTGAAATTACAAAAGATGCGCTAGGCTGCCTTTCTTTTGAAACGAGATAAAGTAGTTTCAGTAAACTTTGCAAAATTGAAGGAAGCGTTGTAATATACCTTCAAGCAAGTGATGAGCGCCTTCCACTTCACTCAATTTAATTTTAAGTTCATCCCTTTCTTCAAGAAGTTGTGTCGCCTCGGCCTTAATGCAAGACACGTTATACAACTTATCTAAGTCCAAATTATTGGACTTCACTTGATTTACTACTTCTAGAAGGTCCTTCACTTCCATTTCTTTGCTTTTAAGCTGTTTACGCAATTCCGATCTCTCGATCGAAATCTGTAAAAGCGAAAAATATATTAGCCAGTGATAACAATGTATTTGTTTAAGGCAAATGCTTCAAAAATATTTGAGATTAAAACTCACTTCTTTAATTTGGAATTCTAGATGTTGCACTTTCTCTGAAAGTGTCCTTTCGATATTCTGCTGAAGCTGTATTTGTGTTGAAAGTTCTTCTGTAAGTCGAGTTACTTCCACTTCTAATTGCTGACACTTTTCTGTAGTAGCTGAAAAATCTGCCACTAAAGCTTCGTTCTGAAATTAAATTTTCAATTCTGTATTCGCTATTACATATCTACCATTCCTTATGCACAATATACGTTACATAATTCAATTTCTATAGATTACAGTAATTAGAAGGAGTTGCAACAAACCTCAAGTTTATCAAATTCATGCTGCATATAATATAAAAAAAAAAAATCATAACGTATTGTAAGCATGCTATATGGTACCATTAGCATGCTTTCTACATGCTGCACATTTATTTAAATTCTTGATAACATACCTCTTGAGTCTTCAAATTAAGGGTGCTGATCAAAGACTCATTAGTTGCCTGTTGCTCATTAAGTCGCGTTTGCAAATTCTCAACAGATTGAGCCAAAGGATTATCCACGTTATCCGAATCAAGAAATTCGCGCAACATACGTTCCAACTCTAATCCTGCTTCAGTGGCGCTTTCTAAATCCTTTTCTAACGCTGCAATTTGATTTTGCTGTTCTGCATTCACAGCCTAAATGCATAGTGGCAATAGAAACCACATTAGGATTAATATATTTCAATTTTATATTTCTGCAATATGATTAGACTATTATAATTCAGATCAACTCACCTGAGATGCTGTTAGATCTGCTTTTAACGATGCGACCATCTCGTTGGAACCAAACGATTCATCTTCGATAGAGTTCAACTAAAAATATTACATTTATACATATTTTTACGTTTATAACGGATACAACAATATTTGGGCACAACTAATTTAAAAAGAAAACTTACTTTATTTTTGACAGACTTCAGATTATCGTCTAACATTATACATTCTTTTGTCGCTACTAACAATTCTTTTTCAAGTTGATTAATTCTTCCTATCAACTGTCCATCTCGCCTTGTGTTCTAAAAGTAAGCAGTACTTAATACATTGCTCGTTCTTTGAGAATTGTGAAAACATTCGTGTAATCGGAATCAGTGGTCAGTGACTTACCTCAATATAATAATATCCAAGAGAGAATAAGAGCGTGGTAAATGCTGTTAAGCAAACGTACATCAAGGTCTCCCAATAACTACGTGTCATTTTTGATGAGAACATAATGGCGCTTTCTTGATTTTCGTAAAACTCTTTTTCCTGTTTTAAAAATCTTTATCTTATTAAATCAGAATATGGTTAATTAAAAATTATGTAGTAAATAAATTCTATCAATATAATTATCTTGCTACAGATACAAAGGCTTCAACTTTCAGTTAATACATTTACATGAGTAATAATTAAATACGCTTGAACTTACTATAAAGTATAATTTACACACTTTTTGTTTAATATTATACATTGAAATAAATAAGAACATTAAGTTACTAACCTTCTGCGAGTAGGGGTTGCTATACACATTTTCGTCTTTGGTACAATCGTAGTCTGCAGTGCATACTTGTTGCGTCAAGTCTAAAAAAATATAGATTTATAGTATAATTAAAATTTTAAAAATTATAGATCCAGAAATATCTTAATATTCTCTTTTGACATTATTCTCACTTACCCTCTTTCTTCAATGCAACACTCCCCGATGGAAATTGTGACGATTCAATGGGCTTATCGGTATCAACATTTTCAGGCAGGACCTTATCCTCATTATGTATGTTGCTTGCATATTCAGGTAAGGTTGCAATTTTTAATTGATCAGTTGTACCAATAGCATCATTATTCATTTGAGACCCATCTAAAGTGATCATTTAGTATTATATTGAACTGTAAACCAATAATAATGTTACTTACAGGTTTCATATTGTTGACTATCATCAACATTCAATAGGTTTCTATTCAATGGTAATTCATTGAAATTAGAAGTCTTCTCTGAGATTATATTAAGATAATTGGAATTTAATGTCACATCTTCTTGAAGGATATCAGCTTGTGTGTTATCATTTGTCACAGTATTATGGGTTTCCTCAAGTGTATCCAACACTCTATCACTCTCATTACTTAAACTATCATTACTAATTTCATTATTATTTACAATTTCATTTTGGCCATGCTCGTGTACTTCAGAGTGATTAAAAGTATTCTCCTCTTCAAATTTCGGAGTGTCATATAGGTTAAGTTCCACAACATCAGTCCTTTGAGTTATATCTTCGTTCTGTACACTTTCATTATTCGTTGCATTTATTTCTACAAAATTGGAGGCTAGCAAAGCTTCAGAGGCTACACTGTTGGTTGTATTTTCTTGTAAACTATCAGAGTCTTCCTTAAAATCTTTTGACAAATTTGAGGATGTCTCTTTCTGCATGTTTTGTTGAAGGACCTTATTGGTATCTGCAATAGGGCTTGGATCTTTCTTATCAACTTCTTCCGAAGTTAGCTCCTTAATATTTTTTGATCTGACTACGATATCGTTAATGGTACCCAGTATTCTATCTACTGCGACTTTACTTTTATCAGCAGCATCTTCTGAGATGACACTCTCGTCAGACTTTTTTAAAGGCGATTCTTCATAATTCTGCTTGTCCTCGCTATTCTCGCTCTTTGCAGAGACTTCGGAAGAAGGCACATTATTGGCAAGTGTTTCTCCATTCTCGGAAGAAGCGGAATTTAATTCAGATGCGGACACATTTTTGGAAGGTTCCTCCACGTTGGAATTCTCTTGGTGAGCCGTAGCATTTTCATTATTATTAACATTATTTTTTTGCATTTCGGCAGAGACTGGCTCTCCTGTTTTCTCATTTGCATTAACGTTATTTAGACCTTGTGGGATCTCCTCTGGTTTTTTTAATGACTCGCTACTTGTTTTGGAGGAGCCATTAGCAACTGTTTTCAATATACCTGGTTCTTGCAGCTTAACATTTTCTGATTTCTGCTCCTTATTATTGGAATGAGTTTCTTGTACTTCTTCAGATGTTTCAATACTCTCATTAGAGATATCAACTTTATTATCTTCTATCAATCCCTTATCTAAAATTTCGCTTTCATGAATATCAGGGACCTTAGTGGGATCCACACCCAAAATCTCGCCTGAATTTAGCGACTCATTAAGAGTATCATCTGCTGACATATTGGGAAAATCTGCTTCAGTTTTTAAATTACCAGTTTTATCTGCATTCTTATTCTTTGATAAACTAGAAATAAATGGCAGGGAATTTGGAGCTATATTTGGATGAATACTAAGAATAGGTTGCTCATCCTGCACTGCTTCCTTTTCCATAACCTTTGATGCATAGCTTTGTTCATCGTGCATTTCTTTTGGTGTCAAAGGGATAGTTGTGCCATCTATTACCTCATATGGTGGAATTACTTTTGTTGGGTCAGGCACCGTTGGTTCCAAATTCTCATTAGAAGACTCTAACACTTTTGCATTCAATTTCAAGTCAATTGATTGGCTACTAGTAGCAGAAGTAGAACTAATTGCATCACTCTCTTTTGGTTTTTCCAAGTCTGACAAGTTGTCTTTTGACAAATTGTTTGTATTGGGATTAGTAGGCACTTCAAACGTCAAATTTCGGTGGAAAACTTTTTCCTCTCTAAGAAATTTGTTTGACATATATCCTCGTACACCATGAACCTGAAGATAGAAAATAAACATGATGTAACAATGAGAAATAAAACCGTAATACAATAAACATTACATAGATAACACATAGAAGCAATACATAAGATTCTAAATTATTTTGGAATTATAAAAATAAAATAATATCAAATTCAGCTACTGTATTTTAATGAACTACAAAAAGTGCATTAGCATTGCTTCAATTTTATTGATTTCAATTAAATATACTGTATTACATTTTAGATCACCAGCAATATTAAAAAATCAATTCTTCATAAATGTAACAAGAACTATATACTCTATATTGCTATTAAATAAAGCTGTCTTCAAGTGTATATTCAAATCATGTATCATACACACAATATCATTCATGATATTTGATTATATATTTCTTTCTAATAAATACCATAATAAATCTTGTAAGATTCACAAATTATGTTCATACCTCAACACCCCATAAATCCTTCCTTTTTCCAGCTGATTTACTGTAAATTGTGACATCTGCATTGATATCAAATGAAACCATACCTGGTTCAATACTTTGGTATTTTATTACAGTTCGTCCACGTCCAACAGGTACTGTGCATTACAAATAATGAAATAGTTATTGAAAAGAAATAAATAAATAAACATAAAAATGTACTGCCATTCACAGAAAATAACTAAAGTATGGCTTCAATTACCAGAACAGTTGGGGTCGTAACATAATTGTTTGTCTGAAATGCTGGATATGCATCCTGAGATTGCAGCAATTATAATAATAGCAAAGGCCAAAATAATGTTCATTGAGTTGCTTATTTTCGTCATATTTTGACTATTGAAAAGTTCCACATCACTACTGAAATACACTGACACAGCCTCGGACGCATATAGTAACCAGAGAACATAGGAACTATAGGTGATTCGTGGCAGTGAAAGGATAGAATGTCATACACTTAGTTCTCAAGTAACACCGCTTGATGGCGCAGTTTCCTTTAGCATTATTAATAGTTCATCAACTTCACCCATAATTGGTAATGACAATTTTTCTTTTACATAATTTTATTAATTCAAGAAGAAACATCATATATAAGGAAAAAATTACATTCGCAACTTCACTGATTGATACAGATCTATTCTTTAACTCAATTTTATTATCTGTTTGTATCATCGATTTCATCCTCTTTTCTACGAAAAAATATTCTAAACGGATTCCGAGAGGTTTTCTTTGTCTTCGTTTCATTTTTTGTTAGTCTGTTCAACCGACAAGGATCATTGACGTTAATTTCCACTGAGTTTTCTAGATTTACAGACTTTCCTCTTTTTCTAAAACGTAAGATCGAAAAGCTCGTGGAGTGAGATTTTATGGCTGACGGTTCTTTCCAAGTTTCAGGTACGGGAACGCTACATGCTGGTGGAGGTTCTTTATAATCATTAAATGAGTCGTTACCTCGACGCTTTGGAACACAACATAAAGAATAAGGAATAGGCAAAAAAGATGGCGGCGGAGGATAAATAGAAGTATTGTTAGATACGTGACACAATTTCTGATTAGGAAAGTTGTCTGCAAAATCGTTAGTCTGCTGATCAGTATGTGATAATCCAGTTCCTGACAAAATCGATATTTCAGTCGTAACTGTAGATTCAACTCTCGATATATCCTCATTCAACACACTTACGTCACCATCCGTGAAGTCGAAGTCAGTGTTTTCAAACGACGGAAACTTCGTTAAAAAGGATACAGGTGGTCTTGGTAATTGTGCGAGTATGTTATTCGATGGGATGTCAGGAGTTTTCGAATTTTTTGAAGAGATCGATTCATCATCCGTACTATTTACTCCATCTCTCATATTTGTCCAAAGTGCATACAGTGCATCCAAGCAACGATTTTCCTCCTTCGTTGACTCTTTTTCCTTTCGAGCAGTCAACAGTCCATCATTCTGCACACTGTATTGTAAATTTGGTGTATGAATATATTTACGAAGCCAGGGATGTACATTGTGCTTTGCTATTTGGTCGTTATCACATTTCATATTACTATCGTGCTTTGCGTTGAGAAATGTATGATTTTTGCAAATTGCAATAGTTTCTCGTTTGATTTGTTTAGTTTCATTAGAAAATTCTGCTGTGCATTGATCCCTTGCATGTGTAACAGGAATAATAAAATAACCAGCTTCTTTCCTTTGTTTTGTGTGTTCATTAAAAAATTGTGCATCCATATCTGAACTGCATTTTTTCGAAGTAAAATCTCTACTGGTATTTATTGCTCCAAAATTTCTTTGATCTTCTTCGGACGAGCATTTCACATTTTCCACTTCTGCTTTCACATTAACGCGATTCTCATCGTGTTCCATATTTTTTTTATGCAACAGTTCCAAGCTGGTTCTTGTGCCATTAATATCTGGCTGGTAATTATTTAGAGACTTGTAACCACTACTTTCGCCAGCGCTCGATTCTGCCCATCTTGGTAAAACTATATTTTTCTTCTTAATGGGTAACACAGATTCCATGACATTATAACAAATTATACTCACTTCTCCAGGCCGTTCGTTCATAACTTTAATTTTATTTGCCTTTGAATTGTTGTCCCCTATTATTATTTTCACTTCATTCTTAAGCTTATTTTTGTGTCTCGTTTCACTTAAAACGATTTTCTTGATGTAACGTGCCATCGCGTAACGTAACGCTTTTTCGTTCCTTTTTGAATATCCATACTTTCTCGAGCATTCGTAAAATTTTGATTTTCTTTTCACCTCAGTAGAATATTGCGATTCCGATAGTGTATCAAGTGTTTTTATCACATCTGCAATAGTTTTACACTGAAGATATACTTTGTCATTTAATTCCAAAGTATTACCACTTGTATCAGATAATTTAGTATCGCCGGCTGTTATTGTACTCTCCTCGTACTGTGTACTTGCATCGTTATATATACTTTTTTTTAAATCGGTATTATTTTCTAGTGAAATCCGTTGTGAACTTTTTATTGGTTCAAATTTGTTCTGTTTTTCTACTGATTTCCTTTCATTATCATTCTGCACTATCCATATAGATTGATCTTGTTCGTTTACGGCAGTTTCCTTAATTTCTGGTAACTTACTAGTTCTGGAATTTGATATAATTTTATCAGGAAACATTTCAGATTCGATGAAGATATTTTTGACAATATTTTCATTTACAGTTGCGCAATCGTTATTAACAATTTTGCAATCTCCATTATTGCCACAAATTCTTACACGTTGTTTGTCACTTGATTCATCGTTAGATTCTATTGGATATAAATTTACCATTATACTATTTTTATTTTGCTTTCTGGAATTAAGTGTGCGATTACTGTTATTTAGATTATATTTAGACTCAATGTTGTTATGAAATTTAGATTCAGATGACTTATCATTATTGACAGATTTTACACCAGCATTTTTTAATCGTGCTTTTCTTCCATCATTGTAACTGTCTTTTTTAGAAACGCAACTCACACGTCTCGTCGGTACAAACACACGCGTGCGTGCTGATCCATCATTTTCATGGACAAAACTATATTTCGATCTTTTACTGTGATCTTCCTTTAAAGTATAAATGCAGTTTTTACATTTACAATCAGTAGGATTTTTAACGCCGGAATCCGTCGACGTGGAACTCGACAAATTTTTGTATTTTTCATATCTCTTTGTTTGCGAAATATTTGCATTGCGTTTTTCTTTACGAGGATAACTTTTCTCACAGTTTCGACATTCTTTATGTCTTTGGCGATCTTTGCATTTTCTAAAAATATCTTTATCGCGATAGGTAAACACAGAATCCTCTTTTTGTAAATTAATGCGATGAATACTATGTTTATGTCGTTTTGTATTTTTTACTGTCTCATCGATTTTATCCAAACTTTTACTACTACTGACGTTTACACGATGAACGACTTTCTTCGCTGAGGATACTTGTGGATTTTGCACAATCGATCCTGCACGACAGTGACAATTATCAGAAACTTTATGAATCGAATATTTTGTTTCATTTTGTGCACTATGCCTCTGTGATTCTTTCTTTCTTCTTGACCGCCTACGCTGGTTTTCATGATTTTCTAAAACGGTTTCTGTACATTCTTTTTCCAGTATTGCAGAATGACAAGGTCTTCGAGACTTACGAGAATGATCACCAGAAATGTTATTATCAATTATTGATCGTTTCTCATTCTGATTCATAATAGATTGAACAATGCTCTTGGTTTTCTTTCTAGTAGCACGAATTTCGAATTCAATATTCCGAGGATCTCGTCGTTTATTTATGTTCGGCAAATTGAATAGGTTAAACCAAGAAAAATCAGTTCGAGCCGTGTTTGAAAAATTCCTTTAGAAAAACTGAAAAAATCATGTGGTATGATCTTGTCACTATACAATAGTATTAAAAATAAAGATGTTCCACCTTTCTTCAGGATCCTTTCGTTTCCTCCAAATCGCGACATTTCGTCTGCCGTCCGTATCATTTAAATGCAAAAACGCATTGTGCGGTCCCGTTTTTATAAATCACGTAACCTCTTATTAATTTAAAAATACATCAACAAAAGTTAAAGCGAACGATAATAATTAAGGAGAAAGTTCTAAAATTTATCGGACTCTTGATTCAAACGACAACCTTTGCCGACAAGTGCATCTGTAAAAAAATATTGTTACTTCATCTAGTTTCTAAGTGATCGACATAAGAAGTACCACCAGAGATGAATATGTACCATCTCTGGTACCACGTTCTCTCCAGAGAGTGGTTAATCGACAAATGGTAAGTTTCTATTGCTAGTTGTGAGAACTTACCTTAATATGTACTTATTTTTCAACAACTCGTGTCCCTCTCTTAACAGTGCAAGAGACGAAAAGATTCGTGGCGCTTTGTGGAGAAGAGTCAGGTATTTCAAATTTCGTGAGTGGTGTATCGGCTGATCTAAGTGAATAAAAATGGAACCTAAGCCAAAGTTGACCAGTGAGACTGCTTGGAACAAACTCCAAGCTTATTTCGATAACAATAGTTCGAAAATTAATATAAACGAACTGTTTCAACAGGATCCCAATCGCTTTCAAAAGTTCAGGTACATTCTACGTGACCTTGTAGTATGTCATTGGTTTGACCTTTAGGATTTAATTGATGAATTTAAATGTTACATTTTATAATAAATGATTTATATATCCAATTGATTAAACATCACTCAAATACTTTGTCAATTATTTTCTATTATGCGAATTCGTTTTGTATTTAATGTAATCTATTACAATTATGTATTACAAGTATTTCGATTAGTGTCATTTAAATTGATAGTAGTGTTGTCATCATTTGATTGTCGTGAATGTTTGAATTTTAACATGTAAAAATTCAATAGTTGAATAAATAATTTGTTATTTACGTTATACAATTTGTAAGTGTAATTCAGGTTAAGTTTTGCTAATATGTAACAAATTTTTCCATAAGATCTAATATAACTTTGCTGCACCTCTTTTTTTTTGAGAATACAACAAATTTACTTTATACTGATGATGCAATTATATGTATAGATTGAATGTTGTAATAACTCATCAAATAGAAGTATTATGGATAAGACATTTTATTCTATAGAAATAATGATAATCCCAAGAGTAGATAATTCAACAATTTTTTATAAATCTTGATTCTGCAGCTTGACAATTGATACACCAGAAGATGGTCCCATTCTTTTGGATTACTCCAAAAATCGTATTACCGATGAAGTCATTGGTCTTCTTCTGGAACTGGTACGTTCTTTTGAATTTTTAGAATTATCTAAGGTAATCAATTTAATTAAGAAAAGTTCTTTTCCTTAATAAACTTTTTTTAATCAGGCACGTGCACGTAAAATTGAACAAGCACGAGATGCTATGTTTTCTGGAGAAAAGATTAACTTTACTGAGAACAGAGCAGTATTACACACTGCGTTGCGTAACAGAAGCAACACACCTATTCTGGTTGAGGGTAAAGATGTTATGCCAGATGTTAATGGTGTTTTGGAACATATGAAACAGTTTACAAACCAGGTATAGTTTAGATTGGAGAGACTATAAAGCTTTAAAAATATAATGATGTATCAGCACCAACTTAGCAGATGATTTCTTATTAGGTGTTATCCAAAGAATGGAAAGGTTTCACTGGCAAACCTATTGAAGATGTTGTCAACATTGGAATCGGTGGCTCCGATCTGGTAAGAAAACTATGAATCACCCTTTGCTGTTTTACATTATGCAATATAAATGATCTAATTATATGTATGGATATAAATCATATTAGGGGCCCTTGATGGTTACTGAAGCCTTGAAACCATATCATGTCGGACCACGCGTTCATTTCGTCAGCAATATCGATGGAACGCACATAGCAGAGACGCTCAAGAAACTGAACCCAGAAACAGCTCTCTTTATTATTGCATCTAAGACATTCACCACTCAGGAGACTATTACAAATGCAACATCTGCAAAAAAATGGCTTTTAAGTCACTTGAATAATGTAAGAATTAAACAATTATAAATTCATAGCCTAGACAATTCTTCATAATAAGAGTAAGTAACCTTAAGGTTTTTGTTGATACAGGATGCAGCTGTGGCCTTTCACTTTGTTGCATTATCCACTAATACTGAAAAAGTAAAAGAATTCGGTATCGATGAGAAAAATATGTTTGGATTTTGGGATTGGGTCGGAGGACGTTATTCCCTGTGGTCGGCCATAGGTCTGTCAATTTCACTGTCCATTGGCTTTGAAAACTTTGAGAAGCTTTTAAGCGGTGCTTTCTTCATGGATCAACATTTCCGCACAACTCCATTGGAAAAAAACGTATGTCATGAAACGTATTGCATTGTGAATAAATGCATTATTAACATACATATATTGCTCTACAGTATTGAATTTTTCGTAATTTCTTTACAGGCACCAGTAATCCTTGCTTTGCTGGGTATTTGGTATCATAACTTCTACAAAGCAGAAACACATGCTCTCTTACCATACGATCAGTACTTGCATAGATTTGCTGCGTATTTCCAACAAGGTGATATGGAGAGTAACGGAAAGTCTGTTACTCGTTCGGGAGAAACCGTGAATTATTCTACTGGCAAGTTGTAATACATAACTATTTCACGAGTAAGAACTTTCAGTTTAGTTTCTTATGATGTTCGCTTACTTTTTTTCTTCAGGTCCCATCGTGTGGGGTGAACCGGGTACGAATGGTCAACATGCATTCTATCAGCTGATTCATCAAGGCACAAGGCTCATTCCAGCAGATTTCATCGCGCCCGTACGTTCCCACAATAAGGTAAGCATTGTATACATTTTTTACTGTTTCTAAACTTTTCAAGACCAATAATAAACCTTAATAAACTACAGCAGTGAAATCAATTAGTTTATACATTTTTGTTTAATTAAATAGGTTCAGGGTGATTTGCACCACAAAATTTTGCTGGCCAACTTCCTCGCTCAAACGGAAGCCCTAATGAAGGGGAAAAATCAAGAACAAGCAAAAGCGGAATTGGAGAAATCTGGCTTGAGCCCAGAACAAGTGACTGCTATATTGCCGCATAAATTATTCCAAGGAAATCGACCAACTAATAGTATCGTAGTTAAGCAGGTTACTCCATTTACACTTGGAGCACTTATCGGTAAGCAACATTTTATTTCCATAATCTGAAAATTATAATTTCCCATGATCATGGATATATTTCTATTATCATCTCTTTGCAGCTATGTACGAGCACAAGATTTTCGTACAAGGAATTATCTGGGACATCAACTCATTCGACCAGTGGGGGTGAGTAATTTTTTTAATATATTATCTAACATGTATACGCTATATTAGGTTATATATAACTATACATCATTTTCAATTATATATAGCGTGGAGCTGGGTAAACAGTTAGCCAAAGCTATTGAACCTGAACTCAACAATAGCGATAAAATTACAAGCCACGATTCATCAACAAACGGATTAATTTCATTCATTAAGGAATACACTGCTTAAACCCAATCAGGCAATTAATGTTGAATTGGATATACAATTGGCAAGGAACATCTTATTAGGATTGAATCACAACAGATGAACACTCTAAATTCATAAACAGCCAGTGTAATGGATTATAGCAGAATGAACGTTTGGAATGTATGTATACATGCTAAAACATGACTTACACAACGTATAGAAAACTTAATTCGGTTTAACATATTAAAGATTTCCCAATATTGTTGTAATATGGTAGGTTTATCGTTATTCTCAAATTAAAAATGATATATGTAGTATTTACATATATTGTTTACGCCATTTTAACATAAATCGTGTTTATTAGTCTTTTATGTACAAAAAATATATACGTCACTGAATATCACAATGATGAAGATCTTATGAGTAGAAAAAGACAAATTAGCATTAAACTATTTGTGGTACGTGAGCAACACGTTAAATGCTTCTCAATTCGTTTATACATACAACTTTTTTTATATATATTTGTTATGTAAAAATCCCTGTTTCATTCCTGTTAATATATCTCTATGTTATAAAATTATTTTCCTTTTGTCATTATTTGTTATTCTGTGTAACTCCAACTTTTTGTTACGTGCTTCATCAATATTAATGAAACGAAACTCGTGGAAAATAAGTAAAAGAAGTTGTACTGTTTATTTAGTTGCAACGTACAACTTCAGTCGCAGAACGGTATAGATACAGACATGCAGACATAAAATCCATGCACACAGTGCAAGAACAATTACATAAAATTGACTTGACTGCATATTCAGATACTTTAAAATTTGTTGCGATGATATAATAAAACAGGGTTCTCTCGTAGGACATTGTAATGGCGGTCGATCATCATTATAGATTGCTTCTAAGACACCTTCAAAGGCGTACCTAGAGTAGGTAAAAAAGAGTCTTTAGATTTCATGTAGATGGCGACACAAATATTTCTTGTTTTATATCCATACCTGAAGTAACTAACAGTACAAATTGGCTGAAGGTATTCCGGCACTTCGTTGAGTTTTATAAAAAATCCAGCAAAGAGGAACATAGGTATATTCATTGCAGGAATTAGGAAAGTACCAGCCTGAAACAAAACTTGTAGTTTAACAATATAACGCTTATGACAGAATTGATTCTTTCATTGACCAAACAATTACCTGAGTATTAAAAGCCGCTCCAGCAGCTATTCCAAATGATTGAGAGAGAATCGTAAGTAAAGTACACACTAACCAAACTTTCATCATTGTATTCACGTCAAATGGTTGTCCGGTCATGCAATATGATATAAGCAGAAACAAGGTGGGACAAAGTATCTGTCAATATAAAAATTTGTAAATTTGTTATTACCACCGATATTAAAATAAAATATTGCACTAATTCTTTGTACAGCTGTTGAATGTGATATACCTGCAATGGAAAATCTGATAGTACTTTCGAAATGTAGTACGACTGTAAGGAGTACCAATTGTTCAGATGTTCACGAAGAAAAACAGCTGCTTCCGTGGGAACTGTGAACGATATAAAATATTAATGAATCGTGAATCGTTGAATTTATAATGCCAAATATTGGTAACTCACACATTTGTACAGCTGGCATAGCATTAGCGAAGAATAAAAATAATAAAAAAAAGAATAAACAAGATATATTGCTTTGCGCTTTGCTTGCATCATCGCCAAAGTTATGAAACACAAGACCCAAGAGAAAAGCGACTATCACGTGCGCGGCTAATCTCAATTTTGTCATTGTCTGTAAAATAGCAGTGAAAGAAATTTTATCATTGCTCTACAGTCACTCTATCAAGATTAGAAATATATTTACGTTATCTCGACTTATGCAGATTATCGCTCTACACAATAAAACCTTCTGTTGTCTCCACTTGGAAACAGAATACCGACCGGGCATAGGAATACCATCTTCGTCTTCTTCAGGATATTCAGTAAGTCGCCCGGACATGATTGCAGCTGGAAATACAAAAAAATAAATACAGAAGCTATTTCGCCCTAGTTTTAAAAAGTGTTACCTTTCTTATTTTTCAAGTACTGATTTTGCACTTGAGCATTCTTATAATTTTGCTCGCTAATCTTATGGAGTTGATCTAAATCCCCACCTCTTTGTCCACTCACTACTTCCAGTACTGTAAGTAAATTATAAATTCTATCTCTAAGTAAAACTCGTGGGGGATATGCAGGAACTAATGAATGTCGAATAACCTTCGGTACATAGATAACGTAGAACATAGTTATATGCAGTTTGGAATCGTACCGTACTCTGATATATTGTAGAATTGAGGACAAACAAAGTTAGCTCTTTTGAATGTGTCATATATATCTATTTGAGGACCACAGTACACAATTGTTCCTTGATTCATTACAATGACGTCGTCAAATTTTGACATCAATTGGCTGCTTGGTTGATGAATTGCACAAACTACAGTACGGCCGGTTTGAGCCATAGCATGTAACAAGTCGATCACCTAAATCAATTGGTTATCATTATGACCTGCAGTTCACAGTAAAAAATATAAAAATTTAATTAATACTTGTTTCGATGCTGCACTGTCTAGACCGCTTGTTGGCTCGTCCAATAACATCACTGTAGGATTAGTAATCAATTCGACACCAAACGACAATCTTTTCTTTTCTCCGCCGCTTAGTTTGCCAACCGGTGTATGCAGACAAGAAGACAAGCCAAGTCGATTTGCAATCTCGTTTACCTACATCAATTATTTGTAGTATGATGCCTATGTTATTGTAACTAAAATTATAAGCATACGCAAGCCGTCAAGTTTTACAATTTTTGCTTCATGCCACCTTACTCAATGACGCGAAATAAACATGAATAATATTCTGAAGCTTTTGTTTAAGTTTCAGTCTCTCGAATCATACACCTGGTTATTCAGTTCGAACGTACCGCCCGAACTGGTTTTACGAGACGAACCCAATGGCCGCGCTAACTTCAGATCGTACATTTAGGCTGAATAGCACGATACACAATTTGTACGATACTTACGATGTATTTCCGAGTCTCGGTTGTGTGTGGAAAACCAAGTTTCAAACAGGCAGCAATATATAAAGTTTCCTTAGCAGTGAGTAATGGAAGAAGAACAAAATCCTGAGGAATGTAACACGCCAGCCGTCGGAATATATCAACATTTCTTTCGGCGCCGTTCACAGTGACGGACCCTTTGAGGTTCGATTGTTTTAAGCCAGAAATTATATTCAACAATGTCGATTTCCCGGCACCGGAAGGACCGATTAAAGCTGTGAGTCTACCTGGTCGAAGGTGGCCAGATACGGAGTATAGAATTTGCTTTTGTTTATGTTTTTCTGTAATTAGAATTTTGTACAGAATTCGTTCTTTGGGCTACCACTAAGCTGCAAAGTTACAGATATTCAGCAATGATATATTTAATATCGATACAGTGATTCCTCATAAACTTCAATTTCAACAAAGGTTATCGATCAGTGGTAAGTATACATGACTTCTTCATTGACGAAAGGTTAACAAAGGCTATGAAGCTATCACAATGTGAATTGTCAATATATTTTCAAATGCCAGGAATCATGGATAAGCATCGTATCTCTCAAGAAATAATCTTACAGCCAAGAAAAGTATACCAGACACTATAATATACTATTCACATTATCGTTCACTTGACAGATCAAATAAAATGAACGCAGCACGTAATAAGCGCGCGTGTGGCATACTAATAAAAAACCTTGATCAATTCCCAGTCAAAACAGCCATTAAACAGGAAATACTAAAAAAGAAGTGGAATTAAATTTAAAACATTATTGCATCTGCGTATCATGGCTACTTTCACTAGCGCGCAACGTAGCTTGACTCAAAGCATGACATATACATGACATTTAACAAACCTGAACATCTATAGTTCCTGTTGCAAGCCGAATAAGACAAATCATTAAATTCGATTAAAATTTGAGACCTCTCTTCAATACATCCTTCTGTCTCCAATAGATATTTGTTGTCAGTCATGTTTACTGAGCAATGTTCGTCATAGTTTTCGGTGTTATCGCGATTTTCAATCATTTTTTTTATCTTTATCAGTCGCAGTCAATTCGCAATGCTGCTGTTTGTCATTTATTATTTACGATTAACGCCGTCTGGGTTATTTCAATGATAATCGAGGTCCTGGTTCCTTTCAACGATACTATAGCACCAACGCATGTAACTGTACTGACTTTACTGTAGATTTCTCATAACCCAATTATCACTCAATGGGAAACATTCAAAAGTTGTCTTTGCCGATGTTTTAACCACGATACGACAATCTGTTGCTCACTCAACCACTGTTAGACAAGCTCCGCATTGACTTCATGACTACTGCTGATAATGCAGCAGCAACTTTCTCGACGATCATTCAGCCCGGTCTTCTTGGTGGGGCAAAGAATGTTCCGTGCCCTGAGTCTGTATGATTTTAGTCGCTCTCACTTAAAGAAGCGTCCACGCCTAGATACTTTTTAAATCGAGCTCCACGCTCTACAGTAATATATGTGAAGCTAAGTACACGCTTTAACCAATGATATCTCTAATGATGTTCCTGAACCAAGATTAGTGGGAGGATCACGAATAGACACAATTAGCTAAAGAGTCTCCAGTATGGGTACTAGGAAAATTGTATAAAATTTGGATTTTGAAAAAAAAAATCAATTTTCGACAGTCGTTCTTTTTATTTATACATCATTTTTTGAGGACTTACGTTAATTCTCATAATGGTAGGACATTAATCTTTATCTCTGTGCTCCAAGTATAATATGTTGATAATAGCATGACTTGTTTATGTGTAATCGACACTGTCGAGGAAATATTAATAAAGAAGGCCAGTCTTATCGGACTCTCCGCCTGGCGGCTACTGGGAACCACTGTTCTCACTAGTCGTCTGCTGGTGACGTATTACGTCATTAGTCGCAGAGATGAGCAGGGAGATGCACAACGCTCCGGCTTTCGGCGGTACCAAAATCATGCCGCTAAATCGTAGCGGCAAGTCTGGAAGTAGGATTCTGTGATTATCGCCTCCGTCGACAATGCAAAACCCATCGTAGTCGAGCTAAACGTGAACAGGAATGCGTAGCTTGACGGGCAGAGGTTCTCCGCTACCCACCGCTAGTTCCCAAAGCAACTCTTAGAACGAGACTGGGAAATATAGAACTTCTCAAGAATTATTGAAAAAGTTTATTGTTGAAATACTTTTAAGAAATTTTTAAAAAAGTGCCAACCTGACACCGGTGTGGCACCTCAATTTTTACTAAATATTATTGGATCTTGATTTACTTTCAAAATTTATTCAAAATATAAAATTGAAGCCAAATAAAAATCTCGCAGAATATACGGAGTAGATAAAATTTGAATTGAAATTGTAGAATATCGAAAATAAATTACATTGAAATTGAAATATTAATAAATTAAGTGTTTGTAACATTAAAATCATTAATTAAATCAATAAAGTAAAATATTAACACTTAGAAATAGGAAATTCTGGCCAAGCATATTTACAAATACTGGAAGTTCCCTAAAATTGTGTGCGCGCAACTTCGTCGCGCAGGACTCGAGGAGTAGGGGAAGGTGGGGGAAGCGACGAAGACAGCGCCCGGACTCGGAGCGCTCATTCTTCCTCGAGCCGGTCTCCTATACTGGTCTCTTGGAATCATTACTCTTATTCATTTTCAACATTCTTCTCTTTCT